GGCAGCGGCCTAGGAGCTTTTTGTTTTAATAAAACCGAGCGCAATCGACTCTCTGATGCGATGGAACCAATGGCTCATCGACGAGGCCGGAATTATGTTCAGAACTGTGACGAAAGTCTGCCACATGAGACTGCGCATGACGTTTTCGATGTCCACGTCACGGTTAATGTCACATCACGAACTTCATTTTTATTTCCAGAGATTCGTTCGAACACGTTAATCGCCAAGTTCCTCCACGTATCATGGTGATTGGCTCCGGAGCACGGGTATCCTTTAGGACGTTTGACGCGACGGGTCAACAGTCTTAACCCGAACGAACCCAAACACGGAGACGTGTCACGAGGTCCTCAACCTTTTGAAGCCTGTGTATAAATAGCGTTGTTGTAAGACATTTAAACAACATGCAGAATAGTGATGGGCCGAACTTTTGCCAAATCGAAAATTCGGCGCAGATTCTTAAGATTCCGCAAAACTGAATTTTGCCGAACTTTTCTAAAGATTCGGCAAAGATTCGGAAAAAATATATTGTTGCCAGGCCTAAAAGATGATATTTCTTATTTTGGGGCGAAAAACGTTTGTAGGTTCTTTTAAATACATATGTTGACACAGTTATTACTAAATAAAACGATATTCTACAAGATAACTGTATTGGTGTCATTTTTGTGTTTTTACTGGCAATTTTAACAGTGACTTTTTGTAGAAGTGTTACGTCAACGAGGTTGGGTAGCAGCAGGCGCAGACATGATACGTGCGTTTCGATTTCGAGACCTCATCAGCGCAAGCTTGCAATGTATACATGGTTGAAATAAAGGCGGTAATACCGTTATTACTTTCTTCGCGAGTCACTGTTCCGTGCGCGAAAATGAATGCAATGGCTTTTGAGCCTCCACAAGAAGAGAAAACAATATTATTGTAAATATGCATGTTTTCCGATATGAGTCCCATTATCTTTGCATGAAAAGTGTGTCCCATAATCGAAACGTCTCTTTTTTAAAGGGAAGATGGGGCACTTCTACATTTGAGAAAAAACGCTTGAATCGCGTTCATTTGGCCTTTAGATTAACAGATATCAAAATTATATTTCAATGCGACGCGCCGGAGAGCCATACGAGCAATTTCAAAATAGGACTGAAGCCCCGCCTCCCTAGCCTTGGGCAGCCAAAAGAGCCGTCGATGACGTCACGGACAGCGACTGTCTTTCGCGTTTTTCTCGCGTTTAACAATACTTACGCAGCAAATGGTTTGGGTATTCGGGTTCACGGGGTAAAGATACACTAGAATTCACTTCTAACTCATTTTTTCCAAGAAGCTCCGTAGCTTCCCTTTAACTTTTGAAAGGCCGGTTCCTGATGTTAGGACACACGCGGACGTCGAGGAAGATGGGAAAACTTAGGAATGTCAGATCTGCAACCGAGCATGGTAGTTCTATGTTTCGTTTAATGCAAATATATAAAAACCGCGAAATAATGCTAATTAAAAAGTAATATTATTTGTTTTGGCACAAACTACTTGTTAGCCGTAAACAGGACTGCTCTAATGGCGAGGAGTGCTTTAAGTACTTGTCAGTCAATGTTGGAAGTACCTCGTTGCATCACTGGAAAGATCAAATAAAAATCAGGTTATCCAGAATGCACCGCATCATTTGTCACTTTCGCAGCGCACTGCGTCAATTCCAGGCCAAACTTCTGTTCTTGAGGCAGAAAATATTGAAGAGAACCACACTCGCAAAGGCTGACAAACACACAGTTACCATGTCATCTACTCCGCACCTCGCCGTAACCATTGGTTACGGCGAGGTGCGGACGATGGTACGATGGTACGAGGTGCGGACGATGGTACGAGGTGCGGACGAGGTACAATAGTAGCCGCACGACCGAACGGCGTCCATTTGGCATCCATGGCGCTGTCGCGTTCTAGCGCATGCGCAGACGTTTGCCGAATTTTCGCCGAACTTTTGCCGAACCTTTTTTCAAAAGTTCGGCACATGCCAGACTTTGTCGAGTCTGAAGTTCGGCAGATTCGGTCCATCAGAAATACAAACACGAAAGAGGAAGACATTTTCATCGGTGATTATAAATATCCCCTTGATCTTCCAAGTTGCTTCCTGCATAAATAATTTCCATGTGGAAACTTGATATACGGGCAAAAAGAAAGAAGAAGAGAGAACAAAATGAGGGACAAGGAGAACACAGCGTTTTGAATATCTGCTCGTGTTGTTCCTGTTTTTGTTTGTTTATTGATACGTCTACATGTCCACTGTCAGTCTCGAACCAGAGTCGTTTTATTTGTCAGACATAATTTTATTTGAAAAGTTCGAGAGGGGCCACAGATACCATCACAACCTTTTTCACATTGTTGCACAAACACGTAAGTCCGGAAGCGAAACTAAACATTATAGCCACCGTGGCTTACTAGCTTCTCGTAGCTTCGGTGTCATCATTGTAACATGCAGATAGTTGATGTTGTTTCATTGATTTGTTACTAAAAGCCTTTTCCAATTTTACAGATCTCCCTGCACACGGCCTAAATGTGCGTATACCTCGCAGGAGGTAGCCATAGCTTGAAAGCCAAAATTGCATTCATCTGTAGCATTCAACATTCGATTTAAGCCGGGAGATTAAGAAAGTAGGCAATGTTATGATTTGAGCACTTTTAAAAAGAGTTCTAGTGAAAGCTTCTCGGTTCAGCGACGTCGACTGCCTTTGAGTAACGACTCGAGTCGTTTGAGGCATCACATTACACTCGGGATCAGCTTTCTTCGTCAATGCAACTGAAGCTACAAAACCGAAGCACACCATTTCACAGAGAATCTGAATATAGTTTACCAAAATAATTTTCAAGGTATAACTTGACCAAATAAAATATATAAAATTGTTCTTTTTAGCTTCGATTTCACGATGTTACTCTAATATTAGTCAGGATATGCCAAGCTTATAGCATTCATGTTTTACCTCTTTCGGGTTTCCTTGCTTTAAGTTTGCCGCAGGTTTTCTAGTTTCCTGCAAAACAAACGTGACGTATTTCTCGCGTGCGTCGTTCGTCATCATAGGTACCTTCGATGCCTTCCGTAAACTCGCCCCGTAGGATGTTCACGAAGTTTGGCCACCAAAGGTTGCCAAAATGAACTAAGCAAGTGTTGTGCAACCTGTATACGCCCAAGTGAGACAAAGGGAATCGGCACTCTCCATTTTTTTCGTATATAGACGCTTTGCAGCAGCTGTGCATGGACGCCGCCATAACTGACCTTCAGTTTTTGTTTCCTTTTATTCCGTTTATTTCACATCATCATTACCATAGCAGGCCAGGTTGTTGCCATATTAGATTCAGCTGTGTCCTTTTCTAAAGCATCGGCATTTGTAGAGGATCGTCAACTACCGTTTCAGTTGCTCGGCATCTCGGTAAGTCAAGAGAAGGTCAGCAATGGTGGCTACAATTTGGCGCGTGTGTAAAGCGTCTATAGGTTGGTTAGGAAGCTCACCGGGGTAAACTAGCGGAGGTTGGGATTAAGCCAAGGATCTCTGGGTTCTGCAGCGCGAGCTTTCGATCTACGTGTTCCGAGCTGTGGTGCACCACCAGCGACCTTCACTAGGGCCAGCGGTAGCGAAAAGCGATTCAAATGGAATTTTACTTCGTGCCGTAGCGTGTGCGGGCTCCTATTTCTGTGTAGCGCACCCGTGCTGTGATTCTTTAGTACCAGAAGAGTTTACGTTTCACTGACTTCAAGACTGAAGCGCCGATGAAACGCAAGGCCTCTCTTAAATTGAAGTCGCATATCTGTGTCGATGGCAAGACAAATAGTATTCGGGAAGATTGGTCACGGTGCAATGTACCTTGCAAGTCATTCCAAGGGCTTCACTCAAAGCGTTGGCTTGTGGGTAGAAACAGGTGAAACGCATGGAAAGAGACACCGATAGGCCTGCATGCTCGGCGATCGCGGTTTAGTACGCGAACAGAGATCCTTATATACGAGGCGATGAACTGTATACCCAATACTCAAACTGAAACCGCAACCAAAAAAGCCCGGAGCTATGTGACGCAATAATAAAGAGCCGTAAGTCAGCGTCCCCCGGCTTACTCTTAATTACCACAGAAAGTTATCCCCGAGTATAGACGTGCCCATAAATTGTATATTTAAATGAGCATTTGACTTTCCTTGCATCCAACTTGCGATGACAGGTATTCGCCTGTATAAACGACAAGACACTGCGATGCCCAGAAAGGCATCGCAGTGATATAAAACGCAACTTTTCTGGTCAGTGATACTTTCAAATCAAGGCTTTTTTGTCTTCATACCACTTCATTCATGCCTATGATATTACGTTTTCGGTTTGCAGCCTATCATACCTTAACGCTGACGTATTATGATCAGAATCATAAAAACTGCACTGTAAAAAAGGGTGTAGCCCCTTACACCCCATGTTACATATACGACACCCCAAAACTTCAGTTAACCGTACAGCGCACTGATGTCCTAACTGACAGCCACAACTTTTACCAGAGGCTTGATGGCGGTGGAATATTAGATATTAAACAGCTAAAATACGCATCGAAGAGTACAGAAAAAAACAACAACAACTGAGGTTTTGCGGTAGGGCGAAGAAAGCACCGATTACTTTTTTTACAGTCAGTTACACTGACTTAAGCTATTTTATTAAGTTGTACACCTCGGCTATCAAACCGCGCGTGAAAGTTGGTAGCTTCGGTTGAACGTCAGTGCGCTGTACGTCCAACTGAAGTTTAGGGGCGTCATATATGTGACAAGGGGTGTAAGGGCTACACCACTTATTTTTTAGTGTGCGCAATAACAATGTGCTCAGATATGGCTGAGCCCCCGGACATCTAGCAGTCCATATGTTTTATAACTTCAGCACAGAATACTTACCAGCAGGATATTTGGGTTATCCTGGTTTCTTGGTCTGCCCTACTTTTGTTTGAACACTCAAAATTACACAAAAAATGCATTGAAAGGTGCCTTCCCCGAACTATTCGAGGTTCGGTCGTCATACAGGATAAATCTGCACAACGGGATATTTGGTGAACTGTACTGGTTGCAGACCGACCAGCGGGCCATCGGGATCCACAGGCGGGGCAGAATGCACTCCAGCGCGATGCCCCACGCTGACATGCTCAGGATTGGTCCCAGCACCGCCGTGCAAAAACATTCCAGAAGCGGCCAGGGGATCCCAGGCGTGGATGGCCATGATGGCAGCCCGGTACCGCCAACTTTCCATGGCGCCCCACAGTATGCCCGCGCTGAAGACAACGATGCCCACAGGGATCAGCACAAAGCCCAGGAGCCTGAGTCCAGGAGTCGCAGAGCTAAAGCCCACCAGGACAAAGAGGATGCCAGAGAGCTTGAGGAAGAAACCCAAGAAGACGACGCTACCGAACCTCCATGGTGACGGACCAGTGCAGCGGGAGCACGAGTCTTGAGGGGGACTTCCAGCTGGCGAGGGCTCATGAAGGCCGTGCAGCATACCAGGGCCCTCTCCCTGCCGATTTTTCTTTGCCAGAAAAAAAGGAAAGAATGCATAGGAACAAAATGTAATGCAATATTGATCCAGAATGGAACAAAGTACGGTTTCCCGGCTGGCAACTTGTTTTCAACTCTTGAACATTGATGTGAACTCAGATACGTACCAAATAGAAAATGAAAGCCGGATAGTTCTCTGACCTTAGGGTGTCAAAGGAACACCCCAAGCTCGCAACGCTAATTATTACAGGTGGTGATTGTTTAGCTGAAAACTCTTTTAGAATAGAAATAAGATTTAGTCCTCCGTATTTGGTGCTGTTTTTTCACTCACGCTATGCGAAACCAATTTGCCCAACTCAAATCTTTGTTGTTTATTTTATAAGGTAATATAGTAGTATTCTTAGATAAATCTGTCGTTCTTTTTAGATCTCTTATGTTGATTTAAATGAAACGTGCCGAGTTTTCTATGTTTTTTAGTGGTTGTTATTTTATTGGTGTGAAATTATTGCTCTAATTACTGATTTATTCAATAGTAATTTTATCAGATATAGCTAAACTATTTTACTGTGTTTTTAGAATACCGTATCAGAAGTCAGTCAAAACGTTGTTTTCGCACCGAAGTTATGTCAAACATATCGAAATTGCAGCCTAGCGTGGTGCATACCTGAAAAATGACCGTTCCACTGCTAGAGTTTTTTCTTGTTCAGCACAGAATGTGATGCGTGAAAAGGTTACTTCGAAAGACGGCCTACTACTCTGTTCTTTCTGTATGATACCACATTTCCGGGCTTGAATAAACGCACTTCCTTACAGCTGCGCTGCGTTGACAGCCTGTCTATGTCGGTCATCGACATGCATGCTTCTGCCACCCATTGTCTATCAATGCTTTCGTAACAATAGCTTTGTAACGCATCTTGCTCCTTCCGGCTTTTACATTTTTCTCAACAGGTAGGAAGAAATATTTTAACTATGGTAGTTGCAATCCAAACTGCTTACCTAATACCGAACTAAGTTCAACTCCGTGTCTTTCCACGCTGCAACTTTCAAAAATGCATTCGAAACAAAATCTATTGTCGCCGCAAAACTCACTTTTCGAGATAAAAAAAAGCAACATAAACTTCGTCTTTTTTGCCCTATTCTCTCCTTATTTTTGCTTATAATGTTTTCCTCTATCTCCGCCACTTGAGCAGCACGCTTCAGTTTCTCAAGTAACACCTCGCAACACAGACTATAGGGGAGGGCTGAAGCAATAGTTGGCGACAGGTTAAGAAACGTTTGAGACGTCGTCCTGTCCCGTTCTGTTTCTTCGACTTTTATGTTTTTCTACCCCAGTCTCAGGTATATTCAACATGGTTAACATCCACCAGCTCGCCTGCACCCTTACTATTGTATCTCTGACAGGTTAAGAGTTGAGGGGAAGCTCCCACCATCTCTTTCCACTTTAGCAGATCGAGGCTGGAAGGAGGGGAAGGGGGCGTGGGGGCAGTTCCTCTCTAGTGTTTGATCTGCTGAAGTGGAAAGAGGTGGGAGAAGCTTCAACTGAACTCTTCACCTGTCACCGACTATAGAAGTCAATGCCTCCGGATGACGTCATTGTTTGTGGATCCCCGACCGACCCTCCCCAAAGCGGAAAACAAGCTGAAGTTCCACGAGAGTCGCTGCCGCAGCAACTACCGTTCAACTTCAGCTTGCGGCCGACGCATGCGTCTTGGCGTCACCGACTTCTTGAGTGGCGTTTATCGGAAGACGCTGCTACACGCCCTGGCGGTGATGCTGACGGAAACTATAGGCTGAGCAGCGTGGATCCGCCATTGACAACGTTACTCGAATAGCCCAGTTGTGGAACTACCATGGAGCCCCCCTCTGGGGGAGTTCCACAACTGAGCTCCCTTCAATCCGCCAGCCTCCCGTCGTTTCAAGCGAGATCTAGATTTTCATTTTTGAAAAACAGCGCGAATAACAGATGGACAAGAAGGAGAGAACACACAGGACGAGGCGCTGACTATCAACTATCTATTCAGAACACATACAAAAAAATTCACGCGAGGACGGCTTCTTCTTTTTCCTCTTCCACCAGTCATTCGCCATTAAGCACGCAACATTGTAAATCATATCAAATTAAAGCACACACACCAGCACAGGTATAAGTCATCGCGTCTTCTTCCTCCTTTCTTTTCTTCTTTCTTCGATCTTCAATCTCGATCTTCAATTCTCTGGTCAACCCATGTCCAAAAAAAAAAAAAAACTATCTCACTGTCCACTAGGCTAATGAATGGTTGGCTCACGCACCCGGGTTTTCGTTTTGCTGTATGATAAGCTTCTACTACCTCCCTCGATAGCTGGTCTATCGAGGGAGGTAACAGTCAGCGTTGACAAAAACCTGTTTTCATAAGATGAAAGAAAGCTTCTCAGTACAGGTCGCTAGACTCAGAGACTCCAATTTTTCCGACTCAGTTATTACTTCAGCCTGCGATAAGGTGACTCGGTACATCAAGATAGATTCCAGAAAACCTGACACAGAAAAAGCCAAGATAGACAAAAAGAACGTCGCCGTTGTTCCTTACATCCGTCGTCTTTCACACGGGTTAAAGGTAGTCGGTTTGAGGTATGGGGTCAACGTAATTTTTTCAGCGCGTAACAAACTGAGCAGGATTATAAACGTGGTTAATAAGCGTGCTGACAGGAAAAGTAAGCCAGAACTTTTTGGATGTCGCGTCAAGCATGGCATGAAGTTCGTGTTCGGTGCACAGGGGACCGTTTATGAAATACCTTTCTCATGCGGTCACTCATATATAGGTCAGACAGGACGTTGCCTCAACATTCGTCTACGCGAACACTACAGTTCATTAAAAGGTAACGCGTACTCCCATTTAGCTGTCCACTGCCGTGAATGTGAATGTGAGCCAAGATTTAGTGACACAAAAGTGCTGTTTAAACACAAAGACCAGCTATCGAGGGAGGTTGTAGAAGCTTACCATATAGCAAAACGAAACCCCGGGTGCGTGAGCCAACCATTCATTAGCCTAGTGGACAGTGAGATAGTTTTTTTTGGACACGGGTTGACCAGAGAATTGAAGATCGAGATTGAAGATCAAAGAAAGAAGAAACGAGGAAGAAGACTCGATGACTTATACCTGTGCTGGTGTGTTTTAACTTTTAACCCCTTAAGTGCCACAATTTTGTTTTCCCAAAAGTACCCTAAAAGTGCCATATTTTTTTTGTTATTTTGAATTTTTATTCCTCTAGTATTACACATATAATTTGAAAAGTTTATTACGAAAAAATCAGCGGAGGCGAAAAAAATATTTGCCAACTAATACGAGTGCTGCCATCTACGATCAGCGCCGCGAAACTACACGGACGAGCCTTGTTCGTCCGTGGAATTGAGGGCTACCGAAAAAACCGCTGGACGAGCTAAGCTCGTCCATGGCATTTTTAGCCCAAAAATGGCCGACGAGCTCAGCTCGTCCAAGGCACTAAAAAGGTTAATTTGATATGATTTACAATGTTGCGTGCTTAATGGCGAATTACTGGTGGAAGAAAAAAAGAAGAAGCCGCCCTCGCGTGAATTCCTCTGTGTGTGTTCTGAATAGATAGTTGATAGTCAGCGCCTCATCCTGTGTGTTCTCCCTTCTTATCCGTGTGTTATTCGCGCTGTTTTTCAAAATGGATTCATACCAACTCGCCCAACTTTCCATTCTAGATTTTTGTTTCAACCCTCCGTGTTCCATATAACGTGCGGTGAAACACCATTTAGACTCTGTGCTTCGAAAGATATGTATTCAATCATGGCCTCCTAGCACCGACGCGCGCCGGATCTCGGAGGGCATGATCACATAGAACACGCTGTAGTTGCCATCGCAGCCGTTCCCAAAACGGTGGCGCGTTGAAAGAAGCGAAACCGGCAGAGAGGTAAGAAGAGGGGAGGGAGGAGCAACACCTTTTATATAAGAAAGTCTAAGTTCTCAATTTACCTGCGTCACCAAAGAAGGCCAGCGTAGGGCAGAGATTGAACGCGACTACGGCGCCAGCGTTCGGCTAGGAGTCGTGTTCTCACTGACTGGATACGACTCCTAGTTGAACGGTCCTGTCCAATCTGCTTACAAACCTCCTTTAGTGGCGCGAAAAAAAAAATCGGCACTTGGGATTTCTTATTTAGCAGGTGCTGGCGGGGAAAGGGGGGGGGGGGGGGGGGCAGGGACTCCTCGTGGAACCAGCATCTACGTGCTGTTCCGTAACTGAGCTAATCTAGTAAAGTGGAGTATAATGGCGTTTGGGGGGAGGGGGGGTTGGGGGGGGGGGGAGGGGACGGGGAGGAAACGGGCCTTGTATTCTGGGTTGTAAGGTTGAAGCAAGTTTCAGTGGAGTCGCATTTGTAACTAGTATAGGTAAATTTTCGAATCGTTTCTGTATGGTAATGTTTCTACGGATACTTTTTTTAAGTTAGTCCGGACAACTTTGATGTATTCACCTGTCTTCAATATTTTATTATACATGTGCGTAAAAAACTTATTTTTCTGAGTATGCTAGGGCATATATGTTTAAGTTTTTTTTTTCTCTCACGTTTGTTGTTTACAGTAAGTTTGTGTTTGCTGTTAGTGTACTGCGCACCGCACAGGCGACAGATACGGTTGTTTGTTCGCACAAGTAAAACAAAGCAATCTTCTTCTTCTTCCTAATATTATTATTACTAAAAGGAATTTTCACCAATCCCTGACTTCTAAGAAACTAGGGACCGAACGAGCGTCTCGAGGGTTGAGAAATATTACAGATTCACGGATTCATTGAGAAAACGTAAAATAGACCGGACAAGGTAAAACTGGTTGCATCTTGCGCCGTTCCCAAAATATATTCTTACCTAATTTGTAATCCTTGTATTTTTTATATAAAGTGCCGGTAACGGCCGACAAAACAGAAGCGTTATTCTTGCTTGTGAGAGAAGATCAAAAGAGATTTTACATACACGATAGAAGAAAAAAAAAAAAAAAAACGCGAGGTAATGTCAGGGGCGACGCAACGTCATGTTTAGTTTCTTCTAATTTATTTAAACCGGTGATCATACTGGTTCATAGATGTCGCCTACAAGCCCACACAGAAGTACTGTAAAGTGGCAAATATTTCAAAATCACAGATGATGTCTTGGATTTAATATTACGGAACGTATTAAAATATCAGCGGGATATTGGAGGTAAAACTTGAAATGAGCAAGGTTCTAAGTTAAGTTCCAAGTGTGAGATTAAAAGTAAAAGAAAAATTCCCAAACCAAGAACCTTGAAGGTTTTGTATTTAAGTCGCTTACTGATAAAATGTTGATGTACCGAAATCGTCCCCTACACGATAATAACTGTGTAGGAAACAAAACTATCACTGCAAGGAAAACGTTAATGGGAGCGTGAAACACACTGTTGCGTTTTATTCTGAACCCCTTTAAGTTTCTACATGATTGCTACAGCAATAGTTAAAATGATTGGATTTCTTAACTGAAAGCGACTAGAATGCGATGCCGAAGCCGATAGAGTCCTTTAGCTAAGTGCACAGAGCGTATGAAAAATCGAAAGTTTATAAATACCTGCAATCACTGTCAACGCCTCAGCAGATAGCAGGCGTCCTTGGCATTGTAACATCCACCTCATAGAGTCTCGATCAAGCCTGCCGTAGATAAAATCGCTAGGTTGGGAAATCGGCATCGTCGATTTTCTCCCAATCCCATTTCGAACTTCTCGCGGTTAGTGCCCGTGCAATTTATCCAACTCTGAAGCGGGTTGCCCTTTGCGAGCTGACGGGGAGCTTCAGGTCTACTCCAACGTAACCGCTACGGATCGCTGCGCCATCTGTCGGCGCGTTTGCGCACTAAGCTATCCATGGAGGTAAGTCGCGGAAGGCGCGCAGTTGCTAGGACCGACGCTTCCAGGAGTGAGGCGCTACGATCGGTAAGCCATCGATTTCGTGGCGCGAGGATGTCCCAATATAGATCAGCGCACTGCGATTGTAGCTCCGCAACTGGTGGATTTGGAGGCACTTCCAGTGAGCTGCACGTTGCTAGGCTATGATCGACACGGGGTACCACAACAAGAAGTTTCGACGCCCAATTTTTTTCTCGTTGAATCGATGGCCGCGACGACCACCAGATCTTTATGCCTGTGCGAAAAAAAAAAGAATCAAATATGGCAAAAAAAAAAGCAACTGACTCGTCCTACAAAAAAAAAAAAAGATATTAGAATTGATCGATTTAGGAGTAGAATCCCAAACAACGCACGCCGCGGCGATTGATGTTCGAACTCCCAATCGTTGATGGCGCCAGACATGCGGTATTTGGCGCCAAAGAGGAGTGCAGCATACAGACCGATAGGTCCATATCTCATTGTATATTCTCGTAGATATCTTAGTTACATAAAGACGTAGTATTGAAAAGGAAAGACAGAATCGTTACCAAAATGTTCTATACCTTCCTAAAAGAAAAAAAAGTCGCTAGGAAAACAACGTATTGAATTTTAGTTCGAAGGCATTAGGTATTCTTTTGATTCATGGCGTTCAGGGAGTCGTTCAAGTCGATTTTGTTCCTTACTTGTGCTATGTTTATAATATAGTATCAAATAGTACTGTAATTCAAAAGCTGACTGCTTCTTTATAATTGTCATTGCGATGCATCAGATCACGTGAGTGATTGAGACATCATAAGCAATTATAAATAAGCAATCAGCTTTGAATTACAGGGAACGCGTTATAGGGCCATTGACGAGTTTGTGTTTAGGAATACCGATTCCATTACTCAATATTAAACGAATATTTAATGCTGATCTCTTACCTAAAAGTAACAGACAAAGAATCAATACTTAACTCTTGCCTATATTGTTTGGTGATAATGGAAATATTTATATATACTGATTACGGGTGAAGTGAACGGAACATCTTAATAAATTTGAAAGAACCTTTTATGTGACAGCAGTCGTTTCAGGAGGCCTAAATTTTGAAGGCAGCAACAACCGATAAAAAGAGGCAAAAGTTTATTGCCACCACCAACTGTGCGAAGACAAAAACAAAGTTCGCTGACGCGGCCCATACATGTGCATCAGCGTGCAAGAAATCTCAGATATACTTTAAAGGAATGTTCACGCATACAGCGCTACCTCATTGTTTTAGTCAGCGCTGAAAATATTACTGCGTTAGGTTCAAGTCGGCGTGGCCTCGGGGCTGCACTTAGTGATAATTTAAAAGCGTTGCGCGGTATGCGTGAACCGACCTTGAAAGTGTTTGAACAAGGTTCATATAATTTATCACAAGTTCGAAATGCTAGCACTGGAGTACTGCGTCTGTAATAGAAGCTAATATAATGGTCTTTCCCGAGACTTTGGAGATTTTTGTAAAGAATTTCAGCGATAATAATAACTAAAAGAAAACAAAACTGGTATATAATAATAATAATAATAATAATAATAATAATAATAATAATAATAATAATAATCTTTATTTTGTTGTGTCCACAAACAGCCCATACCCTAAATAGTGGTACACAGTTCGTTATTGGAAGTGAAATGTAGACAGCCACATAGATCCAAACTTATACACAAATTATCGACTCCAGTGTACGTCGAAAAGTTGTCACGTCACTAAAAATGTCTATAGCAAATTGGTCAAGCCTGTTAAATTCCAGTTGCATTCTTGTTAAAGGTTAAGTGATGTATCATATAAAGTCAGGACGTAGAACGGGCTCTGAGACCGACTAGACCGCAAGGGATACGCTGAACCATATAGATCACACAATTCCTCATATACACAATTAAACATTCATTCACACCTTTCGAGAATACAGTAAATTGTATAAGAAATGCAAACATAGAGCACAGATAAATTTTAATGAACATGGCTAAGACTGGACTATCACAAGCAGTCTGTACTCTAGTGAATCATAGCTAAACCTTATCAAATGTACCATTAAGGCTTCTAAAACAAATGATACAAAGAACACGACCGCACTGCACCGACTGGTGTAGCGCATTCGATTCGCGATACAGCAAAGACCTCGCATGTATCTATTTATATCAGGAACACGGGCTTTACAAACATTAATACCCGCATTGTTTTGAATATTATCATCATGACAGTGAACTCACTCCTGCAGTAGCATGGATATTTCCATGTTTCAAGAAAATAATGAAACTCTGCTGCGAAAAATGACCCTCTACTACGAGGGATCGATTAAATGAATTGGGGACACAATCATCACTTTGTCATAGAAAAGTTTAGGGTGTCCGTGTTGCAGCGAGCGTCATTTGACTATCACTACATTCAGTAGGGCTGGGCATCGGTTGTAAATCGTTGCACGATTAATCGCCATCCTTTAATCGATTAATAAATATATTTATCTGTTTCTTTTGCTCCCCTGCAAAAAAGTTGAAATAATTTTTAAAAAAGTGAGTTTTTTGCTTTTGCTGAATATGTGATAAACGGGGCAATGTACTATTTCGGATATTTACTGAATGTGTAGTTGAGAACAGCCGAAACACACCCACAGTCAAGAAATATTACTTTAATGGCTGGGACAAGGATGTTCGTCCGATATCTCCGGCAGTAGCGAACTCCTTCGATTCTTCCCAATAGTCTCTGCTGCGCTGAACGAATACTCGCACGACGTTGAATTGTTTGGGACTCTTATAACCTTTTCCACTGGTTTCGAGCAACAAACCAATCCCCTACAGTTTCTTTAGGTAAACATTTTACCGAAAACTTGACTTCGTACAGGTGTACTCGTCCAGAACTGTGTGATGAAAGTGTTGAAGTTTGACTTGTTTCTTGTTTGTCAAACATTAACAGATTAAGCGGTTAAATAAATTAATCGCGATTAAAGCCTTAACCGATTAATAGGTAGCTTAATCGATCAAGTGCCCAGCCCCACTATTTTGTGCTCACTCTTCCCAAATTTTGACGAAGTATTAGTTTTGTGCATTTTCCTAATGCAGGAATTATCCCGATTCTGTAGCAGCGGCAGCATTCCAGATAGCGGCGTCCTGCAACTAGGGATTGCGAAAAAATGACTGAACTACACGACATTACCGTTCATGTGCGATGAACTCTCCGTGATGACCGCATGCAGTAATTAAAGCACCACACGGAGGGCTGCATAGAAAGGTTAAATTAGAGTAGCCAGAAATATTCCTCATTATAAGAGGAGTGCATGGAGGAAGCTCGCGAGTCTTTTAAAGTAATGCAGCCGTTGGGCCGCTTTATCACATGATCAAGACTATGACGTTCTAGCTTTTGACTTGCACTCCCATTCTGAAAAAGAAAAAAGAATACTGGGTTTGGTTAGGTTAGGTTAGGTTAGGTTAGGTTTTTGCACAACCTATACAGTACGATGGACGCCCTTGTACGCACTGCGCATGCGCTGCCACAGAAGACTCGCGCATGCGCAGTTCGTACCGGAGGGCCCATTGTACCGTATCGGGTGTGCAAAAACTGTTTCCTAAAACTCCGTATTAGCAGACGGTCACACGGTGCTCATTACTGCTAATGGAATCACTCGTCATCAACTAATTTTCGAAGTAGTTTCGTAATTATTTGTTTACGTTTATTAAGAAAAAATCACAAGAGTATGCTGATTGCATTTGGAAGTAATAAAATCACTTATAACCGTTACTATCCCCCCCCCCCCCCCCCCTTCCCCGCTCCTAATGAAGCCCTTTGTTTTTACAAGGGTCCTATGAAGGATTCCTCGATCCAAGTCTCTCGACAGGACGATGGTTTACCATGATTGGCGGATTAAAAAGATAAGTTTCTTAAAGTTCGATGATTCTAATATAATAATGGACAGTGTACAAAACCCGTTTTCACAAAACTCAGAAATAAAAACGCAGAAAAACAAGGTCGTTTTGAAAATCTGCAGTGTCAGAAAAGTTCGAGTTATTCAACCAAGAATAATTGCAATTGTAATGGATTACTTTTGTTCTTTTTCCAAGTAACGTGTACAAGGCTGCTCTGTGGTGTGACAAGAAGTCAAGAATACAGCCGAGGAGTTCACTGAATTCTATTTCAATGCCTCAGAACTTTTGTCTAATACTCCCTGACAGTTAAAAAAATAGAATAAATAGAGGGCGTGTCGTTTTGTAGCCAATGAGCTTTCGATATGAGCCGCCAACCGATAGAGGCACGCCTCACGTTTCTTAAAGCGTCGGTGACAGTGGGCAGAATAGACCTTGTCGGGAAGAAGTGCTGTTTCGCTCATTGCCATGTACTGCCTTCAGTCTAGAGCTGTATGCATACCAGCATCAATCAGTTTCTTCCATGCATCAATCATTTTTTCCTCTGTTATTTTGTTTGACATTTCTCAATTAAAAACAAAACAAATCACTGCACATATCATTGTTCAGTTTAAAGCATCATTCGGTTGAAATCACCACTGATTTCAAAGGCAAGCTGCATCTGGCGTTGTTTCCGCGACTACACGAATATTCAGCTTTACAGTGTCGGGTTTTGAAACCTGGTTACGGATTTAACTACGAATAGAGGGTGCATATAGGTTGCTCGCATATATTAATGCCGAACGAACAAATTCTTCCTACGTCAGTACACAATAGCAGGGTTTCGCAACAAGGCCACAACAATTGCGCTAGACAAAGGAACGTAGCTGTTTCAGAGTCGCAAAGGAACGAAGTGTCCGAGCGAAACACTATAAAGTCCTTGGTTTGTAGTGGGTTTTCGACTAGCATGTTACCTCCAGAGTTGTAACTACGAAACCACACCACGGAAGAGGAACTTTCGCTGGGACGTAGACGAGACAGAGCCCGGGAACATCTCCGCTATCCTGATCTAACATTTTCATCAAAAGCTTCCGGCGCTTCACTTCCCGTCGACTCCGTAAACCAGGCGGTAGACACTCGCGTTCACGGGCGCCATCAGCGGCGACACCTGGAGCTTGGGAGCCGCATAAGTGGTGGGCTTGTAGACGTGACCGTTGGCAGCCTCCTCGAAATAGTAGTCGGTGCCAAAGTCCTCCTCGTACGGCGAGATGCTCTGCGGCATCCAGGACGCTTCGACAGTCTTCCGGCGGAACGTCGTCATGGCGATTAGGCCTAACGTGAGGACCGCCACCAGGACACCGGTCATGAAGGAAGCCAGACCGGCTATCCAGATGGCAGGATGTACGGTGTAGACGAGGGTGTAGCAGCACAGGCATACACCCAGGCAAGACGACATGGTACCGACGAAAAGGAGGACATTGAGGTAGGTCGGGTAGCGTATCCTGGTACGGATGAGCTGTTGCTTGTCTGCTGCAATGGCACCCATGTTCTCGGAGGTACTTTCTTGTTGCGATGCTGTTCCCTGCAAAAGAAGTCATGTTAGTCTTCATCATTGGCTAGGTGGAATCAGTGAACGTCGCTTGTCCCCACTAGTCTTATATATATATATAAAAAAAAGACGTAGACGTGACAGCTGTTTGACTGGGAGAACTGGCCACTAAGATTTAGGGGATCAAAGCATGTTTGCCGCACGCTATACGTTAATTGATATACAGGGTGTTTTTATAGGTTTTACATATTTGTTAAAAAAAAAGCTGTCAAGGTACATTCATGCGATATGTTAATGCAGGTAAGTAATACGGTTAGGAGGACATAATATAGGGAGGGAATCATCGATATATATATGTATTATTCCGCTACAATTTGCTAATGTTTTATAATTGCAGGTAAAGGCATGGTTCCAATCAGAAACTTGCAGCAATGCTGAACTTCATCAGAATTCCTACCAAAGTAAATAACAATAAAAAAAAAAAAATACCTGTAGCGAGGAGAGTGCGGTGTGCGCTAATGTTAGTACTCCAGCAACGCGCACGCTCCCCCCGCTCACCAAATCTTTCTAATATTTTTACTTGGTGGTTTTCGACGACGCTCAACAAGTTTCTGGTTGGAACCGTATCTTTATCTTAAATAATAACAAAGTTAATGAACACGTTTGAGTTAATTGATCCACTTATCTTGACGATTATTGTGTCTCCCTGGCCGTAAAACTCAACTGCACAAACCGTATTAGTGTGGCTTCCACGGCTTTCTTTAAAACAAATCTGTAGACTTAAAAATAAAATTAGATAAAATCTCGATTAAGCAAAATTCACGGTGTGTCCTACCGGGCGGGAAATTTCATTCTTCTGCATGGCCTTGAGCCAAAAAATAAGCGCGCAAAAGGCACCAGTGACGTGAATCCCTCCAATCTTCGCTGGAGTCGAACTGGTGACGTCACTTATGGAGCGGTTAAGTCGGTTGCGGAACCGCCGCAGGACAGATCATGGGCGCTCGCTGCTCGCTAATTAGTTTCAGTTTTGAAGCCTTGTACAAGGATGACATTTCTCGTGCTGTGGTGCCCATTAGGAATTTTCTAACCAAATGTTCACGTCACGGCTAGACCAGAATGATGAAGAGCGTCAACTCTCACAGATTAAGCAGAAAAAAAAAATAGTTTAGAAAGTTATTTAAATCGTAGTAATTTAGTTAGCAACTAACTAACCAATTTCACCTCTTTTGTTGTGACCCCGATGCCCCCAAGCTTAAGAACAGGACTACAAAAAACGTAACTAACGATCTGTTTAAAAAAAAATCTCGTCCCACCGAAAAACAGAACCAAAAATAAACCTTGCGTACGTACAAAAACATTAATGATGAACCGACATTCCATTTCTTATGAGTAAAAAACGAATCAATGCACGAATTTCAATGAAACCATCAATCCGCATAAAAACTAAACAACAAGTGGTACATCCCTTTTCTCTGGAAACAGTGTTAAACAATACTTTGTTTTCTTCACAGTAACTTACAAATACTCACCGGTGCTCAAAAACAGAAATATAGTTGGATCTTCGCGGTACACGCATGATTTTATTTTTTTTTCTCCCGGAACCGACATAGCTCAAAACCCAAACCAATTAAGCAAACCACACCACATAAAAAAAAAAAAAAAAAAAAAAAAAAAACAGGATTTTTCACATCAGATAGATATCGGAAAGACGAGTTAGCCACATATGAACTCTGCTAGCTGCTTCCGGTCCAATTTACGAACGGTCTTCCGGTCCAGTTTTCAAACGAAGTTCTGCGTAGGAGGACGAAATCCTGGAGTGAAGAGTCAGAGCGGAAGGAATACACGTGAGCGCACCTGCCCGAGATAAGCGATGTATCTCGTTACCGGATGTTCACCGGGAGGAAATCCGTACGCCCACGTCTAGACGATTCGCTCGTCCTCGAAACGTTACTCGAAAATGCTTTAAACTTGCGACTCGTTAAACGTAATGGCGGCATAGTAATGAACCTGAGCTGTGAATACAGTAATCCACAGATGAATCGCTTAAACATGTACTTATATCTTGAGCGATTAGTCGGTTGCGCTCTGGGTTTTCAAAATTTCGGGTAACAAAAGAATATCAAAAACAACAAAGGGGGCGCCATTGATTATGGTGAATCTGTCCATGTAAAACAGTGTCTGGAACGCGTCTACTCCCATCCCGCCCATACATCGAAAGGTGTCACAAAGCCCTTCTCTTTGTACGATGATGCCCTCTGGTATCCGCAATTGTCCCGAGGTAATTGGGGCTATCGCAGACACTTAAATGCTCATATTTAAAATTTTATGAATGAAATATTTGTTCTAGAGATACCTATATGCTTATAACGCAGTTTGTTTTCATTTATGTACGATCTCTTTCCGCCCTTTTGCAAATGACTTCAAAGTATCGGTACTGAAATGTCCCAAAGATTGCACATTGCCTGTGTTTCATAAAATAAAAGCCTCAAACTTACATGCTGACATATACTGAAAAAAAAAAAGTTTGAGTGCCTTGCGTAAGTTTAAAATCCTTTGTCAGGAGAATACTTGTTTCCTGGTCACACCGTAAAAACCCACATAACAAATTTACAATGTGATGTTTATATTTTAGGAATATGACAATGACTTTACTTTGTTACATAAACGGGTATATCAGAAGTATGCACATAAAATCACACTATGCAGAAACGTCACTGGAAGATATCTGAAGGTACCAGATTTTCGAACTTTGAAGTCATTTGCAAAAGGGCGGAAAGAGATCGTACATAAATGAAAACAAACTGCGTTATAAGCATATAGGTATCTCTAGAACAAATATTTCATAAGACAAAATCCACCCTGAATTCATAACTCTATTATTAGTGTCATTAATTTTACTAGACCTATATGAAAGGTAAATAAATTTGGGTTTCAAATGAATTGCATCCAAAGCTATTCCATTCGGCGGTCAGCATATTAAAGGCTTCATGTCGCTCTCTTGATGTGTTGCCGTGAATATAACCTGGGCCTTTATTCTTCCTGTATATCTACGGGTTGGAGAATACAAAGGAGCAGTATTGCGCGGTTTGAAGGATATGGCCAACAATAATCAATACCATTGGGCAGCATAAAACCAAACGTTGTCCGCGAGTTCATCAAAGCATACTTAATAAAGTTTCGGACAGTGTGGGCTTGGGATACCAAATTTTTTAAGAAACAAATAATCAGAAGCCATTTGCTGAAATTGTATCAAGAGAAGAACCTCTAATGGTGATATTTAAATACAGGCTATGCCTAGTGTTAGGTTTTCAGTAAAAATTTAACACCTTTTCATGATTTAGATACTCGGTTGAAGAATTCTAAGTCAGCACAACAAACAATGAAGGCGGTAAGCTGCAGCACTTGTTGTGACTTCATACTTTTATAGTAAAGCTTGTTTATCTGAACGTACATGTCTCTCTCTAATACCAACCGGACAAAAAAAAAAGAAGCTTGTTTGTGTCGGCAATTTAAGTTAATTGAAACACTGAAGCTGTCTTGATTGAATACCGAATTCAAGTGTTCGGGAAACAAGTGAAACGAATGTGGTGCTGAGCTAGCAAAGAACGTGCAACCTGCGAATGCCGACGGCTAATTCTAACGCTTAATTAGAATATTACGCTTTTTGTCCGCCACATTATTACAAAGTGTTGCAACCTGGTTCAGGCGGTAAATATATTTATTTCGAGGAGCTGACACTAAGCATGTCCGGCCGCCAGGACATACGGTGCCGAACACCCGAGCTGCCAGCCATCTAAGCCCGTGCACCTGGCTTAATGGTCCTTTTGACGATGATAGCAGGCTGTCTGTTACACAAAGTGTGTCCGAAACGCTTATGGATTAGTTGGTTTAAACGTGAATAGCACATATCTCGACAGCAGTGGTCCTCGTAAAATGCAATGAAGATTCTCCACACTAACTAAACTGAAAAGGCAATTAACAAACAAACAATGAAAAACAAACGTTAGGCCTAACCACGACTACATTGAATCTACCTTTTCGTATCAACAGTGTCCTTAGTTTCCCAGGAAAATCGACGTAATAATGTACAAACATTTGAGACTTACTCAGCCGTCGAAGATTACCGATAAAAAGTTGGCAGACGATAGCCGGCGGGCGATGACCGATTCCAGCAGACGGTCCAGATCCAGTGGAAAACGGCAGACGGACACCAACGGCCTCACTACACCAGACGCCACAGAGCGGAGCGGTAAAAACTACACCTACACCGAAGCTACGTTACGCCCTCAGGCCTCTGTCCTAGCGCTCGAACAACCCTCCGTTATTCGACCGTTAGGAAAGCGGCGCACCGAGAATGGCTACTCGCGGCTAAACGTTGTAGACTCTCGCTGGAAATGAGGCAAAGGAAAAAAGCTGCAGGGGGGTGTCGCGCGTTTGCGGGAACAGCCTTGTGGGAACAAAGTACGCCCTTGCTCCAGACGCGCACACTCAAACGCTCGTGGCGGCGATACGACAGGTGTTCTTCACGCAGCTGTGGGCAGGGATAACGTGACGGAAAAACGAGAGGAAGGTAACAAAGGAAGGAGGAGAGAGTACGCAGCAAAGGGTTGGGGAAAGAGGCCGTCGGGATGACGGCTGCATTATCAGAACAAACGGAGCGTTGTGTGGCAACAAACATCACTGATCCATGCTAGACAGGCGCCACCCTGTGGGAAGTTCCATAAACCGTAGCGCTATCAGCTCAGGCTGCTTTCCGACGGCGGCGTCGGCGGTGTTTATTTGAAGCCAGGCCGGAGCCGAAACGATTGTTACAATTCCTGGAAGGTGTGTAGGATGGACACAGCCAAACCGAAGACCTTCCGCTCAATGTCCCCAATCGATAGCCACAGACAGGGCTAGAACGGCAAACGAGGTCCTTCAGTTGTTCCGCTAGAGGCAGAGCTTCCTATACCTTCGGTATCGCTTCGGTATCTCGGGATTTTTGAACTTGCACGCACGTGGGGCCAAAGCACGACGGAAGGCAACAA